AGACCATCCCATGGTCCGGCGTCCTCGAAGCGCCAGACCATGGGATGGTCCGGCGCCCTCGAAGCGCCCGACCATGGGATGGTCTGGCGTCCTCGAGGCGCTTGACCTTGCGATGGTCCGGCGCCCTCGAAGCGCCAGACCATGGGATGGTCCGGCGCCCTCGAAGCGCCAGACCATGGGATGGTTCGGAGCCCTCGAAGCGCCAGACAATCGGATGGTCCGGCGTCCTCGAGGCTCCAAACCATCCCATGGTCCGTTGTTCTCGAGGAGTCACCGAGGTTAAACATTGAGCGCAGGCAGAGGTTACACAGAGCCTCCGATGGTCCGTCGTTCATCCCATGGTCCGGCATCCTCGAAGCGCCAGACCATGGGATGGTCCGGCGCCCTGTATGGTACATGATAGTTCACCTACCATATATGGTCCATGTGGTACCATACTAATGCAACCTACCATGGTCTACATATAAAGCCGGAAGTCACGATTTTGGAGGAAAATTATGTACATTTCTCACTTGATTTAATTTCGCGATTTTAAAAAAAAATGTCAGTTTTAACGAAATGTCAGTTTTAGAGAAGTGTAGCGCACGAAGAGAGATCAAGAAGGGAGAGATTATAGTTAGCGTTGCACGACCAAGAAGAGATTACAGTTACAGCAAGGATGAAGGCGCGGGCAGACAAGAACACGGGACCAAACGCAGAAATTTGCGCGTAAGCAAGAAGCATCGCGCGGTTGCGAGCGGAAATTCCAGCGCGCCTAAATTCCTCATTAAAATCCTAATTGCAAAAAGAAATTCCGAGAGCCTTCACGGCTCTGTATGCATTCAAAATTCGAAAAAGATTTTCCCTGCTCACTAATCACGCCAAAAAGCCACCACACATTTCAAAAGAAGAAAAACAAAAAGCAACTGCCATTATTCCCCTTCTTCCTTCGCGCTCACGGAGGCACGAAGCATTCACTCCTGCCTGATTAGCGCGGTCCTTTTTACACGGCGCAACCAAAAAGGACAGACAGCGACGAAAATGGAGGACACTCACGCAATTTAGTCCCTGACCCTTCTATAAGCCCCCGAATCATCCGTGCAGAAATTGGCGCAGCTCAGAAAAGAGATCATCACAGCGCCGTTTCTGCTGGAGGCGCAGTCAGGTGAGGATGTGGCTTGCGGGTTGAACGTGGGGCAGCAAGAAGTCAAGAGAGAGACAGGGTGATGAGGCTATGGCGGAGAGGAGGATGAGGAAGAAGAAGGGATGAGAGAGAGTTCTGGGCGACTTCGTTGTTAACTTGTTACTCCATGAGCGGTCAGTGCTGGTATGTGGTGAGAGAGAGAGAGAGAGAGAGAGAGAGAGAGAGAGAGAGAGAGAGAGAGAGAGAGAGAGAGAGAGAGAGAGAGAGAGAGAGCACCCTTCAATGCTGGTACGGTGAGCTCCGTCACAGCAGCATACACGATCACTTCGAAGTAGCTGCATTGTCTCTGCTGGCAGGGTCCCTTCATTTGCTGATATCGGATATTGGCTGGGCTGTCCGCCCAGCAGTTTCTGGTTGATGTGAGAGAGAGGCACTTTGCATGTAAGCCCGGCATTGTTTTGCAGCTATCAAAATGTGTGTGCATGCTCGCATGTCCAAGCGAGTACGCGTGTGATCATTGCTGTATTTGTCAGGGATTTGGAATCTTGAGCCAGTTACTGGTCCTGGTTACCTCACCGATCCTCTCTCTCTTTTTTTTTTTTTTTTGTTGAAAACACTAATATACGCCATTGCCTTGGTTAATCTGTTCGAACAAGGGGAAGGGAAGCTTGTTTGATGACGTTTATGTGTCACTAACACAGACTCAATGCATCTTGCTCCCTCAACTTTTCCATGTGATGCCACGTGGCAAGTGAACTGTCACATGGCAGCTGAGATCATGTGGCCCAAATGTGAACCACACATTGTCAATACATGCCACTTCACGGTCGAAGTGTCACATGCCAGAATCAGATGCGAGGTAAGTACCTCAGCAGTCCATGGGCCCTGTGAATCTCAGCATTTTTGTATTTCTGAGTTTTTCTGTGTTGCATTTCTGAGTTTTTCTGTTTGAGAACACAGGCCCTGTGTGACCAGGGCGTAGTCTGAGAAATTCTGGGGTTGCTGTGTGACCAGGCCATATTGATTTGGCCGCGGCCTACATCGACTCCGACCTGCATTTTGACTTTGACTCGGGTACAGGCCTCCAGCCCACATTTCTAGATTACAGTTGGGCTGGAGGAAACTGTTGGTACCAGGCCCTAAAAGCAGCCTGAAACTGGGCCTGGTGGTTGAAGGCTGGGCCAGGGAATTTTGACTTGGTCTGGGCCCAGTCAGAACCTGGCCAGCACATGTCAAAGTCAACGAAATTATTATTTGTAGAGGGCAGAGCCACGAGCTCCACCATTTTGCCTTGTACTTTTGGATTTGCTACCGTAGTGCGGCCAGAAGTGAAGGCGTGCGGTAGCCTTGCCCACCTGCTGCCATAGTCAGGGCAGAGGCGGAGGTGATGAGGAGGTCAGCAGGGGTCCTTGGATGGAGGAGCACTGGAGGACATGGCCCGGGAGGACCAGAGTCATGAGAGAGAGAGAGAGAGAGAGAGAGGATGCTGGAGGCCAGAGAGATAGGGAGCGCTATGGCAGTTCTATCCTAGTCTTCTACTTCGAGCTACCTGTTGTGCTGGCGGTGTAGTGACAACGGTGCAGAGAGGGAGTAGGATTGCAGAGGGAGTGAGAGAGAGTGATAAGTGGTTGATGACGTGTCAGGAGATGATGTGCCAGCTGGTGCTGATGTGGCATTGCCACGTGGAGTCTTCAAGTGGTTTACCGAGAGTGGAGAGCGGCTCTATTTTAGCTGCCGATGATTGTCCAGGCTGGCGCCAGGCCAGCCTGAGGTCTGGAGGTTCGGTTTGAGGCCGAGTGCCATCATGTTACTCCATTGATTGCTTTTAAATTTGTGGACTTGCAATCAGACTCGTTCTCAAACACACTTTTCATGCATGTAAACAGCAACGCAGCATACTGGCGACATGCGGCCACTCAAAAACTCGGAGATATGGCTTTCAGATACGAGTTCACTCTCAATTAGCTATGGCGACTTCAGCGCCCAAACATCTCACTGTTCACATACACGGGATCACCCTGGATATCCCACACGCATCACTCTAACACTCGAGCAC